TTTTCACTTGATTGTCCAGAAACTTTACTATAATGCATGTTGTATTGCAATAAATTACACATACTGTTATTTTAATTATATCCACCACCCAACTCAAAACCTGGACAAATAAAACCAAAACTATATACATGGATAGATTCTAAAGTCAAGAGTTATAGACCACTGCTGCCCTGTTCATGTCACAAAATCCCCAAAACATGTAGTTTCAATTTAAAACAACAGAGCACATTGTTAAGCAAACACACCCACGTTGGTTTTGGGCAAACAGGCTCCACTGAACTCCTTCTGGAAAGCACAAGGAAGATTTTATCATACGAGCGATGGTTTCGCTATTGAGACTGCCCAGCTGTCAAAGTGTGATAAATCAGTAATTTCATAAATCATATCCAAGTACAGCAAACGTTTTGTCCCAAACTCATAACAGATAATAACAATTAATCAATCCAATAATCCTCCTCCTGCAGTTTCACATCGCTAAATGGTCCGATTAATGCTGAGATAGGTTGGTGAGTAAAGAATTCACTTTGGGTTTATGATGACAGATAAGCGATGGATTAATAATGTTCGGTAAATTAGATGAGTAGATGTGGACAGATGGGCCGATAGAGCAGATATCAGGCAGTCACAGGCGACTGTTGGAGAGAGCAGAGGCTCATGGGAAGAGTCACAAACTCGAGCCAGCTTGCACCCTATCTGGAATCCGATAGGAACAAATATGTCTTTGTCCGCTCCTGCCTGTGTCTGACTATGTGTCATACCCTGTCTGTGCTAGGCCTCTGTCTGTGTACGTATAGAATATTTGTACGTATTATTGTCTTTTCAAGGCACAGTCAAGGCTTTCTATCCCATCGTCAGTCCAGCACTTTTGCTATAAAGTGTAAACACAATCTGAGGCCACTATATTTGTTCTTCTCGGTGGAATTTGTTCTCGTTTGACATTTCAATAGGCCGTAATTACCACAGCTATCAAGCTATCTAAACCACCGAAGCTGCACAGCTCCCACACAAAGACCTATCTTTCCATGTGCGGCTCACCACATATTTTATGTGACTCCATAAAGCATTACAAAGCTGTCTTTGACCATATGCAAAGCTGCTCTGCCAGCATGCCCGCAAGTAGAAGTTTCATAATGAGATGGCAGCACTTGAAGCAATTTACTTTTAATGCTCTAATTAAGCAGCTTTTTGAGGACAGTAGTCTGTCTTTAAATTGGCCATTCTACATAATGAGTAATTTTACTTTTGCTACCTGGTAGCATAATACTTTTTCCTTGTCATAGAGTATTTTTACACTGGTATTGCACACTTAAGTAAAACATCTGAATACTTCTTCCACCACTGATTATTTGTACGTTATCTATTACATACTATGTATTTAATAGAGGTTTTGGATTTCAAATAAAATAACTGGTGGGAAAGTAACAATTACAAAACGTCTCACACTTGATAATATTTAAATTTACCGAGTTTAACTTCTAGCTTTAGCTCTTTTACAAACGTCTTAAAATAAATTGGAATAGACGGAAGACAGTTGAAATAATGAACAAATATAGACATTTAATAAGGTTTTCAAAAAATAGGTTTCTTTCATGGCTATAAAGAGAAACTCAATCTGTCGGTTCATTCATCAGGCCTTTTCTATTCTTGTTCTTTTGGCAAAAGTCCTTGAAGTTTGCATCCTTGCCAACAGGACTTCATTTCTCATAAAGTACAGTGAGCATTAAGGGCTTTGCGAGACATTTGTTTGGACTGGTATTGCACACATTGTGGTCTCTCCGGTGACTCAGCAGACAGTTGGTTCCTTTAGTTGGTTCCTGGCCTTACGTCAGTGCGAAAGCTCATTTGCATTTGTATTGTGTAAGAAGAATGTGAAGGGGGGAAAAAAAAGCTGGGCAGTTTTCAGGCTCCTTTAGAATATTTTGTCCACTACTGATGTGCTGAAAGAGCTTTTCAGACCCAAGAAAAACCTTTGACGTAGGTGAACACAAAGCTACGACAACAACTAAAGAGTTACTATAGGATTATTTTATGTTCAGTATAAATCTGTAGTTTCTACAACCCTCCTTCCTGAATACAGTGTCTAATATACGGAGTCTAATAAATCTCTTATGAATGGATGACAAAATGGCTCAATCCAACGCTTTGTTCCAAACTAATATATTGTAACTACTGGATGGATTGCAATGACATTACAGATATATATATATATATACTCATTGTGACCAAAGGACGAATCTCAATGTTTTGGGTGATCTTCTGACTTTAAATCCAGCGCCACCAGCAGGTCAAAGTTTTCAATTATTCAGTGAAATATCTCATATTCTAGTACATGGATTGGCACAAACCTTTAAACAGACACTCATGATTCTCAGAGGATGAATCGTATTGACTTTGTTGATCACCTGACTATTCCTCTAGCACCACCAGCAGGTTGACTTTCTTACTTATCGCTACTGTGAAATTTAGTGAAGGCGTTCATGTTGCTCCCAGGATGAATGGCCATAACTTTCTAGCGGTGTAGTTGCAGATCAAAACTCCCCTGCTTCACCCTCCCCTTCCATGTGCTTTCTTTACGTTATACAATGTCAGACTTTTAAATGGTATTTCTTAGTTGCTTCTAATTTTTGATATAAATAAAAAAAAAACCTACACATTTTATTCACAAAGCAGTTGGCTCCCACCGAAAGAAACAATTTGATAAAGGCATTCAGAAGGTTTTGGATTTATTAAGCTCATGTGATACTGAATTCAGATTTGATAACCTTACCATTAAAACCAAACCGTAGTGAATAAAGGCAAGAACCACCTGCAGTGTCTTACGGGTTAAATATCCAGCCAAAGAGTTTGTGGTCCCAGGTCTTGGGATGAATTTCCATGCCAACTATGTTGCCTCATGACTGGCTATGAGTGGTCACATGCAGGTTGAATATGTGTTTAATACCTCATACCGGGTTTCTGTTGGAAGGTTTATTTGGACTGCTGATTAAAAAGCACTTTACATCAGCGGTTGGCGCACCCTCACGCCACAGGCTGGAGAATCGGATTCGTCCACGTGAAGGAAGGGATCTAGAAACACACGATACATTCCAGGCATGAATCGCACTTACACTGAACTAGCACATGCATGTTCACCTTTTAACAACGTCCGGTAATTCCTCCGATGTAAGAGACCAGATATTTTTTTTGTCCACGATTTTTTCTTCAGTCTGACAACTTAAGTATCATCCCTTCCTATGACTTGAATGTGTGATTAGAATATGAGCGAGTGCATGTGCCAGACGTGAATCTCACAGACGACGTTTTCAAACAATTTCTTGATCACAGAGGGAGATTTATTTTTTTCTGTGACAGTAAAATGCATTCACAGCTGGAAACATTTCTTTCAGGCAGCCTCTCAGCACCACACTGCCGTTTTGTATTCAATGTCTAACTCACAGCACGCCTTTAGACTCTCTGTGCACACAGTATAGATGTGTGAAAGTGCTGGTGGATTTTGAAAATGATGGCCACGTCTACATGCATGTCTGTGTCATGATAAATACACTTCAAGATGCATCTTTGAATGCTTTTAGGACTATTTCAAAGGGCGCAGTCGAGCAGACATTGATGATAACGTCTGTCTTTGTGCAGGCACATGACATTTCTCAAGCTACGTTTGAAATCTGGGTGTGCTGTTTTATGAAGTCTGATGTGAAACCCATTGATCTGTAACTGACTTGTAATTTATTAATGGTGTGAAATGTCAAAACACCCTCCTCTGCAGCTGTAACGTTCAGTTAATATTGTAGTCTCGCTTTGCGGCTGACTGAGGCTTTTCTCCTCTAACAGCGGTTTTGTCCTCCAGAGTCAAAAAGGAGGCTCTGAGTTGGTAGCACCTTTTGTCTGCTGCTGACACGAACAGACAGCACTACACATGCGGCTCCCCAATCATCACACCATGGTTGAAAACTCAGGGACTTTTAATTCCTCTATAAATTTGCATTTTCGCTTAGACATCTTTACGAGTGATTCTACCAGCTAAGCTTCACTTTATGCGTCCCTTAGCGACAATAAACAGCATCCAACGGCAGCACTTCCTGCAAGCTTACATTATATACGTCATATATTTAAATTAGATTGTTGCATGCAACTTCAGCGTAGTTTCATCTATGAGTAGTCCACGGGATGAAAAAAACAAGCATTGGGCAGGTTTATTTACTTTATACACAGTCCTTAAGGTCCAGTGTGTTACATTTAGGAGCATAAAACTACATAAAAATACTCATGTTACTTATTCTTTTATTTTTTTAATCAGTCAGATCATATTTACTGACATAAAGTAGCACTAGGAGAGCAATCACTCATCACAGTTACAGTGTATGCTTGTAGAACAGCATACCTTACTGTAGTAATATCAAAGGCTAATAGTTATTATCTAAAGCAGGTAGGTTGTGTAAATTAGCGAGGAGGTATAACGTTTATATTCTATGCCAAGGCCACACACACACATAGTGCTACAAGATGAATGCTTTGAGGCGTTTGGTTGTCAGCCACGGTCCCTTCTCCTTGTTGTTAATGCTGCTGGTGTTCTGGCAATTCTTTGGTGGGTTTTGTTCGCTGAGGCTTTCTCTGCGGGAGCATTTACTTCTGAGCTACCAAAGGAGGACAGCCGGAAACTGAAAGCACACACGCACACACAGGTGGAAGTGGTGGGTCTCTTTCTCTTTTCAAAGTCCCTAAAAGGAAGAAAGTAGAGCGAAAAGAAAGTGTGTGTGTGTGTGTGTGTGTGTGTGTGTGTGATCCAAAGCCAGACTTTTAGGCGAAGCCAGCTCTCTACAGCTCTCTGTTAAAACCACACATGGAAATTCACAGACAAAGAACAGCCATCTGTATCTCCCCCCTGAGTTCATAGTAAAAACAAAAAAAAAAACACTAATTTTAAAATGTTAGAAACAAACAAAACTGTATGTTTTGTGATGCCTCTGGAAAAACTAAATTCTGCCTCTCTCTTTCCTTTCTAGTTTATAATAGAAGACATGAAGCAGCAGCAAACCAACAAACACAGCAACCTGCACCGCGAAGACCAGCACATCACTGTGGAGGAGCTGTGGAAGGGCTGGAAGACCTCCGAAGGTAAACGCAGGCCAACTGTCTCCACCCCAAGGTCACTAACGCAGACACCTCTACATTTATTGTATTAAGCTCTAATCGAGGAGGAAGAGGGGAGGAGGAGGAGGCGTAAAATACTAAAGACGGCAAAAGTCCACATTTGAAAACATCTGTAGTGAAGCCAGGTTTTTGGTGACAATCCCTAAATATGAATCCCCCTCTTTGTAGAGCTGCCATTTTGGTGGTTGTACAGGGAAAAATCCAACAAAGCTATCTCTGTTGAGTTTCATTTTAACGGACCTTCATGCTGTGCAACTGGAAATCGCGCCTTCGTAGATGGCGAAAAAATAAAGAAGAAAACATATAAAAAAGATTCCTCAGGCTGCCTATGTAGCAAGCCACAAACTATTATGTACTATATAAACACACTGAATCACACGACAGAGGTGTGGTTTCTAATGAGTAATCAGCAAGTGCAACATCCTCTTGACAAACTAATGTGAACAAGCACTCATCAAGTACCTTTTTAGGTGACTTTCTAATTCTCCAGATACTCAAGTGGACTTCTGCGGGGTCGACGCTTCAGGCGCTGAGTGAGGGAGCGAGCGATGATGAACACTCAAGGGCGTATTTACCCGGAATGAAGTGTGATCTATTATTTGCTCTGCAGAATGTATAATGATGTAAAAGTATAAGTAAACAGACTCTCATTAATGTTTAAAGGAATTCTTTTTTTTTTTTTTTTTTTCCAAGGAAGCCATCTGAGTAATTTCAATCACCATTCACTGCTATTATTTCAATTATTATACAGCTCAAGGGGAGAGTGCTGTTCATTGGCATTTTGATCACACAAACCTTGCCCCCAAGCGACACCGTGAAGTTTGATTCAGTCATATTACTGTGAAGAATACAGCTTCAGAAGGTTGTTTCCTCCACTCCTCTCTCCCTCTCCGAGTCTCTTATTTGAATTTCAGATGGGGGGGACAGAATTTGACCCAAAGTCCTCTTCCTTTTCTAACACATCTGTGTTTTATCTTCAAACACGCACCTCCCAATCTGTCATTCTCAGCCTCTTCGTGACAGTGTTTGTTTATAACTCTGAAAATATGTGTGGGGCTACAGTAAGTGGTTGCGGAACATGCCTTTGAACTAGCACTTGTGTTCCTTAACATTTGAAATAAATACAGCCTCTGCAGAATATACAGTAAACATTTTAGTTTAGTTGTTTGATTGAGACATTTTTTTAACCACAGTGTTATACAGACATTTGATGCTTTTCTGTCTTCAGATGTTTGTCATAGTAAGTAATATACATTATGCATTTTATTATATTAATCATATTGTATTTAGGTTTCTATCATCTTTAATGGCTCTGCTGGATTTAGAATAACGCTGGCTGTACAAAATTTAAACTTAAATACAATTTTGAGGTATTAGAGTGTTTCCATTGTATGCAACTATTTATTTTTAGTCCACCATCTCAGAGGGAAATGTACTTTTAACTCAATTTAATATATTTACTTATTTATCAGATTAAGAATTTCCATAAAAAATAGATAAAACCAGTGGTCTATATGTTGTTAGAGCTTCCATCACTTCAAACACCTCGGATGGTTTCATTTAAAAAAAACAGTTCAAAGCTCAAGGAGATAAAACTCCTCATTTCCTCATAAATGGAAAGGTTAGAGGGAAATTAAAAAAAAGCATACATTTGCGTAGCAGCACCATTTTCTTCTTCTTTCCTGCCAATTAATCATCACACGAACCCGTCAGATTTATAATGTAAGGGTTAGTTTGGAAACCGTTGAATAAAACTACCCAACAGTACATATAAACCAGCTCCACCTCAACCAGCTACATCGGTAAATTTACACTTCAGCACTGCTGCAAAAACCTTCATCTCCTCCTTTTCCTCTCTCCTCATCAAGTCCACAACTGGACTGTGGACAACGCGGTGCAGTGGCTGAAGGAGTCGGTGGAGCTGCCGCAGTACGAGAAGAACTTCAGGGACTTCCGGGTCACAGGGAACACCTTACCTCGGTTAGTACGGCTCACCTCAAGCATCGACTCACTCACTGTACTTCATCGCTCACAGGAGCACTGCCACGACACATATCAACACAGTTTGTGTGTGTGTGTGTGTGTGTGTGCCTCTAATTAAGATGTTTTACTTTGCTGCTGGTGAGCAGTGAAGTGTGTTTATGAACAGGAACACTATTATGGTCTTTGTTACAATACCCGAAGGCACCTTTAGATTTCATTACTCTGTTTAATGCTGCCCACTGCTGGTCATAAAAGGCAACACATGGGGAAGAACACTCAAACAGGTAGATTCTTCACCTCAGTGTCTTCTCCTATGGCTGTATTGTAAAGGGTGTTTTTCAAAGGCAGACTCATCACATGCAACCATTAAACCATTAAACGCAACCATCAGAACAATATGTAAATGCTTTTTTAATTGAATCCTTGATGTTTAATCTTTCAAAAGAGGATGAAATAGTTAATAAAGTCATCTGAGTGCCCGACATTACAGGAGAAACTCAGACGCTGGTGGGACACTTGTGGAATGTGACCCGCTGCAAACTGCATGTACGGCATGAGTAGACAGAGGGGTGGGTGAGTGGGTTATTGAGGGGTTTCACGTTACGCCACGAGGCCGATGGGCGCTGACTCATGAAGTGATGTCACACTGAGGGGGTACAGTTTCCACAGGCTGCCATGTTGTCTGAGCCCTTTAAGATGGTGGTGGTATGTGACCGCTGGTTGTGGGAAGAAAAAAAAAAAAAGAGGAGATGCTGGTGTCATACAGGTCGAACTGAGCACATGAGAATAGTGAAGAGTTTGTGTATCCTTCTTACAGGCACACAATCATGCCTGTACTTCTCAGGAGGATTTGACTGATATGTGACTTATATTATAAACAAAGGCCAAAGGCAGTCTGGATTCAGTCCATCCATCCTGATTCTCCAGAATTTAATGACACCCCCGGAGCAGTATGGGGCACCAGGGGGTATTTACTATAGATTTGCAGCCCTTTTAGGCACTAAACGGCCAAACTGCATTGATTGTTATTTACTAAATGACCTATACAAGTCAAAACATTGAAAGAAATGGAGAGAAATGTTAAAACAACGTCTTAAGAGTCCAGCCAGTGAAAACACTTCAGTGACAGCAGTAAAGAATACTGCAGCCAACTTAAAGTTCACATTCTGTAACACTTCATATCATCCTTATTGTGTATCATTACATAGGGTTAACAACAAGCTCTGACTCCCAACACTAAAACGTTTCTGTGGAGAACAGACTCACACAGACAGATACTTAAATGTCCACAGAAAGAGAGTCATTTTAACGCACACTGGAAGCTGAAATAGTTCTGACTAGAAAAGACAGACAAGATTCAATGCTGATTTTTTTGTTCTTCTTCACATTTCAGAATAGCGGCAAATGAACCGTCGTTTATGTCGATGCAGCTGAAGATATTAGACCAGCGGCATAAACAAAAACTAAACCTAAAGGCACTAGATGCAGTGCTGTTTGGCCCTCCTCTCCGTAAGTATGCAGCATATTTAGTTTGGTCCCAACTTGGATGTTTTTTATGCAACATTATGTAACAACTACATTTTTGCAACCAGAAAACAGAGTAACACAGTATTTGCTAAAGCCACCCATCTTCTCCTTGTCCTCCTTCTCTCTGCAGGTCCACAGCATAACTGGTTGAAAGACTTTGTCCTGATGGTTTCCATAGTGATTGGTGTTGGGGGCTGCTGGTTTGCATACGTGCAGAACAAGTCCAGCAAGGTGCACATCTCTCAGATGATGAAGGATCTGGATAGCCTGCAGCATGCCGAGCAAAGCCTCTTAGACCTGCAGAGCCGGTAAGAGAAGGAAATGTATCAGATAGACTTAAAATGTGACAGAGACATCATATTCCACACTGGTCATCTTGTCCGTTTCCCTCCTCATCTCCCAGGCTGGAAAAGGCTCAGGAGGAGAACCGGACGGTAGCCGTGGAGAAGCAGAACCTCGAGCAAAAGATGAGGGATGAGATCACCGGGGCCAAAACGGAGGCTCACCGGCTTCGAGAACTGCGAGAGGGCGCCGAGTGCGAACTCAGCCGGCTCAAATACGCTGAGGAGGAGCTAGTACAGGTAGGGCTTCCCACTTGCAAACTGATTTATCATTATTTATCATCAAATGTTAAAATGAACAGTCTTCTACTCTACCCAGGAGGTGTATAATCATTGTATATAAATCATTACTGCTGCTAAAACACCTGAAAAACACCTTAAAACGAGAGGATTAATTTCACATTTTTCATCTTAAATTTTCATTTCTTCCAAAGCCACAAGATTTCCTCATTTCCCTTCACATAAAAAATACAGCACCAATATGTCAAAAGTTCCTCTTGGTAATGAGTTCTCTGCTCGCAGACGAGCCGGGGTTGGACTCATTTTTACACAGCAAATTCAGAATTTAAACAGTAAATGGAGTTTCATTTGAAATTCAACAAGTGTTTGCCCTCACTTTCCAGTGTTTGATCAATGATCTCACGGGGGGGGGGTTTAAATATTTGAAAGTGAATTTAAGCTGGACCCTGATGTATCACATTGCTCCTGCGTAGGTGCGAAAGGCTCTGAAGCGAGCGGAGAAGGAGATGCAGTCGGAGCGGTCGGTGCCCGAAGCCCTTCAGAAGTGGCTCCAGCTCACACACGAGGTGGAGGTTCAGTACTACAACATCAAGAAACAGAGCGCTGAGTTTCAGCTGTGCGTCGCCAAAGATGAGGTGACTAACGTTTATCTCCTTAAGTGGCTTACAATACAGAGAATGAGCAAGCGGGGGTCGGTCAGCAGTGTTTTATAAATCACGAAAAAGGTGCTGAGTGGGTTTATTTAATGTTCAGCGTGCTCGCATGTAATGGAAGTGAAAAGAGATTAGGTCTGGCAGAGGTTTCACTGTATTTGCATTGCATGAATCTATCTTGCTCATAAACCACCGAATGCACTTGATTTCAGGTGCTATTTGAATTACAATTTATTTGTGTAAAAATAATGAAAATGCTTATATATCCACAGCCACTGCAAGAGACTTTTATGTCCTGGGTGTTGACTGTCAGGAGCCAAGCAAATCAAAAGCAGGAGAAATCAGACCCTACCTACTTCTTTTTTCATATTTCCAGTCACACACTAAAGTACACAGAGCTGCGCCTTGCTCATCTCTTTTTGTCTCTGCACGTTAAAAGAGTAGTAAATCATGTTTATTGCTGCTACCAAGCTACTAGTGCCGGGCTGCAGAGGGAACATCAGTCTGCACTCTCGCTGACAGCTGGGATTGTTTAAGAGCAGTGTAACGCAGCCTGGCTGGCCTATAGTAGAGGTACTAGTATATAAGGATAAAAATATCACTTCTGTCATATTTTTGCTGGTCAGAACAGAAGAGTGAGGTTATGGAAGATTGACGGAAGGAAGTGGCAGTCTTCTGATTAACACATAAAACAGAGAATTGTGTCTTAAAGATGTAGTTAAATTATGTTTTAATTACATTGCCCATTTTAGTTTTTCTTACTTCCATCCGGCAGAAATCTCAATTGCTGAACTCGATTAAATTTCTTTCTTAAAAATGTTTTGTGTGTTTTTTTAATCTCAGGCAGAGAAAATAAAAAAGAAAAGAGGCTCCGTGTTTGGAACGCTTCATGTAGCCCACAGTTCATCGCTGGATGAGGTGGACCACAAGATACTGGAAGCAAAGTAAGAAAAGAAAAACTCACTCAATACAAACACACTCTCACACACACATATATTACAGCCGTCAGCCAGAGAAACATGTGATCAATTCATTGTCCTTGATCTGTGTATGTTATTAGCCATACCTAATGATTTGCAATAATGTCAACCAATCACAGTGCTCATTGATGTCCAATGGTACAAGAAAGGTTGTCATATTGAATAGCAGATCATGCTGTGATGGCATGTTATTGATATGGCGGTATGGGAATCTTCAGTCAGTGTTAGTGCAGCAGCTGTATTGTTGCTTGCAGTGTGTATTACTTAGCCCAGATACGTTTATACACACACACACACACACACACACACACACACACACACACACACACACTACTGTTATACTGAAGTTTTTCTTCTTTTATTCGATAATGGCCGCTTTAACTTAGCTTAAAAACAGTATAATTCAGACACTAGAAGTACCGTTTACTTTTTGTCCCCAAAAGAAGAATAATTCGATGATTAAAGCTTCCAATTAGCGGATGTCCCCACAGTGTTGCACAGGGAGAATACTGTTTAAATGTAACCATTTTTCCCCTAAATACCCTTCAATTTTAAATTAGTTTTCCAGTCCAATAAGTGACCCTAGATCATTACTGAACCACAACGGTGCAACTGGGCTCCAAATATTTAGTTTTTGTCTTTGGGCCCTCTGGAGTCCACTCAGTAATTATACTAAATAGGGTTAAACTGTGAGTCCATAGTGTGTTCAGCTGATATTCTGTGATCCAGTTCCAATAGTGGTATCCCTAGACCAACCGGTGATTTCCTATTTATCTTGTGTGGCTGTTTCTCAGCCATCGTACTGCTTTTTGTTCTCCATGTACAAAACATTTGTGCAAACCCTTCATATAAAATAACATAAATATGTAAAGAGAACTTTCTAAAAACCTAAAATCATGAAAGAACATTCAAAAGTATAGTGTAGTCCTCTCAGCCGAGTGCCGAATCAAGCTTTTGTGGCAGGAAATTGCAAACTTCTGAACAGTAATGTGCGTACTATTGGCTTTTACATCAACAACGACTTTTGTTTTGTTTGTTCACTAATTAAATACTTCAGAAATCTCACCGCATTGGAAAAAACCTACGCAGTGACAATATCTGACTGCACAATGTCACAAGTTCTTGCACAGATATGACCACATAATACTATTACATTTCTTTGGTTGTGTTTTATTCCAGATATATTTAATATATTCCAAACATGTACAGTATAATCCAGGTGCTGCCACTGAGATAAAGACTCCCTTTGTGTTTAAAGCCAAAAAGGGGGGGCAGGGGGAATCACATAAAAGAGAGAACAAAGTAAAAATCTTCTGCACGAGTCCATTATCATAATATAACCAGCTTGTATGCCAAAACTGTCTAAATCCTGACGAATCAAAACAGAGAATTTGAATCCGTATCAGAAACAGGATCACCCCGACGTCTGCCACCTCCTCATTCCTCTGTTTGTTTGTTTTTTTTCTGTTAAGGAAAGCCCTGTCAGAGGTAACGGCGTGCCTGAGGGAGCGGCTGCACCGCTGGCAGCAGATCGAGAAGCTTTGCAACTTCCCTGTAGTCAACAACGCGGGGCTGCCGAGCCTGACGGCCAGCCTCTACTCAGACCACAGCTGGGTGGTCATGCCGCGAGTCTCTGTGCCTCCCTACCCCATCGCAGGGGGAGTGGACGACCTAGACGAGGACACGCCTCCCATCATTCCGCAGTTCACAAGTGAGTGGTGGAGGATTACGACGCTTTCCAAGTGACATAAATTAAATAAATATGTAGTGAACTAAACTGTGATGTCGATTTTTTTTCCCCCCACAGCGACCACGTTGATCCGGCCATCCCTGACTCGCAGCAGCAGCCTGTGTCGGTCCCGCCGGAGCCTGCTGAGCTCGCCACAGTCCTCGCTGATGTCCCCAGACCCCGACCTGCTGTCCATGGCCAGCTCTTCCCTCTCCTATCGCCCCGAGGCAGACGACGAACATATCATGTTCAGCTCGGATAGGAGGGGGTATGTAGCGGTGGCCGGAACGCCGCGGAATGGTTTTACAGTTTGGACTCACAGGTGTTATATTCAGACATTCACACTGACGCTTCAAGCTTGGGGGTTAAACGGCGGAATCTAGTATGTGGAGGATGCATGCATTAACCTCTACATGATACACCATAATTAGTTCATGTCTAACATGATTAATTAGATAGATAAAAATGATCTCAGCTCCACTTTAATTTCTGCACTTTGTTCCCAATTTGCTTTACTAATGTGTCAGTAAAGACTAAACCCCTAATAAAACTCAAAACAGTGGTCAATGTGACAAATAGTGGCCGGTAACTAACATATCTTTTAAGCACCTGAGAGGAGAATCCCTTTAAAAACATAGGGCATAGTCATTAATATTACATAGTGAACACTAAACAGTTTCTGCCCAAGACAGAAAAATCTCACAGAATCTGGGTACTTGCTGACAAAAATAAATCACACATTTACATTTACCAGATTTACTTTATATTTATTTTGCTTTTGGGCCTTTATTGACACACCACCCCCACTCACTACCTACTGCCCCCTGGGCATTATGGATGATGTATCATCTCCAACTCCTTATCAAGTACAGGGCAAACAGACTATACCTTACATGCCACTTTTATTATGTGCCTACTTTTACCGCTTTAAACTTAACATAGGAATCTGCCCCGTGTAGATTAAAGTAATAAACAGGTTAAAAGTAGATTCAGACACAGGGACTCCATGAAAGGGCTTCAAAATTGCAGCTCCTCCCTCAGTTTATATTGTGCAGAAGCAGTTCAAATTCCCTTAAAGATATAATGTTAGTAATATGTAGTGTATTTATTCTTATGGGATTAGTATTGGGACCTCAAATATCTGGTCACGAGTACACGGTGAGATTAAAAATTAAAGTAAAAGGTCATAATTAAATTCACTGTGCCTCCTCAGGTAAAACATATCCCCATCAGAACAGTGTATACCCAAACAAACATTTATGAAAAGGTTCCCATTAATTAGGTTTTATGAAGAATTGTGCCCAAAATACATAACATGACAGACTTTTTGTAGCTAAACAAATTAGCTACATTTCCGAAACTCACTCTAATTAGTTTATTTTTATGAGTTTTAACCACGGTGCGTCTCCTCTCCTCTCTCAGGGAACCGGTTCAAGAGGGCAGCTCCGACACAGACTCTCTCAACTCCTCCATGGGCCGCAAGCAGCTGCACAACCCCTGCACGCCGGGCTCCGACACCCCGTACCGCAAGATCTCCCGCGAGGAGCTGCTGCTGTTGAGCCAGAACCCGGAGCTTCCCGCGTCCACCGCCGCCACCTCCACCACCCACACCGCCAGCAGCAGCAGCAGCAGCAGTCTCAGGGACTCCACACCTCCCCCTCTGCCTCCCACTCCGGCCACCACCCCCTCCGGCCCGCCCTCCACCTCGCCTTCCCCGGCCTTGGAGCACCATCCGTTTGCACACAGAGGCTCGCCCGACCTCACCCGCATCATACCCGAGTCCCAAAGCTTAACCTTCTCACAGGGGAGCGCCACCTCTCCGACTGGCAAGGGCATGTACAACGGCATCCTGGAGAAGTCCTACAGCTTCGGCCAGCTGCCCGCGAGCATGCTGCCCAACGTGGGGCGCCACCCGTCTCTTACTTCCCTGGACTCGGAGGGCCGGAGCGTGGGAAGAGAATACAAGCTCCAGAGCACCTCCTCCCAGGACTCCAGCGACAATGGAGAGAAAGTCAAGCGCTCCTCCTCTAAAATCAAAAGCTTATTTAAGAAGAAAAAATAAAACTTGCAGAGTGAGATAGTGTGAGACAGAGAGAGAGAGAGAGAGAGAGAGAGAAATCAAATATAAAGAGTTGTTTTAGCCCTAATACTAAAATAAATGGACATCACTGTAAGCTAAAACATTTCATTTTCTCTCTTATTTTCTTCTTTTTGTCGTCAAAGATGGAATGTAGCTCAGTCCAGGTGCCTTTAAACGCCCCAGACTGGTAGCCTTATTTTTCAATAATGCCTTTTTATTTAGTTCACTCATAGCCTCACAGGGAAACCTGCGACGGTCAAAGAAAAGTCAATGAAAGGTCAAAGGTCATGATAGTTGTCATCCAGACAACCGAAAACACATGGCCTGTTCACTGTCTTCTATTTGTTTTGGTTCGAACCAAAAAGCCACTATGGGTAAAGGGTCTAAAGGTGCAGTCCATAAATGTATTCTGAAGCACACAATGTGCAGCGTTTCACTGTGGATGTCCAGAAGGATGTTTGCTGTCATTACTGAAACTGTTTGAATCACACTTTGAGTGGTGACAGCAGCACACGAATATCACAGAATTCTCTCAGTCAGTTTCTTTTTAACCCGAACTACCCCCCCTCCACCTGCCCCCTTCAAATTATGGATTGCATCCTGTGAAGTCTTTGAGTCCTAAACTCGTGTACTTGATTAATTTCCTTTTTGAAAAAAAAAAATATGAAAAAAAAAACCTGCTAAAAGTTTGTTGCACTACTGCTTTCCTGGTATTTTGGGAAAGAGCCGCTGCTTGCGGAGTACATATTGAATAAAGTTATAGAGATGAGAGGAATACATGGGCAGCGGCAGTGGAGATGCAGCACATAATGCCAGAGCCAAAATTATCTGACGCGTCTTCAGTGCCACTACTTATGGATGTCTCAATATATATAAATATATATATACTTTGTTTTCACATTATTATGTTCTTATAGATGTTTTTAAATAGATTTATATTGGTGAGGGTTCCTATGAACTGATCTTTACTGAAGAAGGTTTATTGAATATGCAGATTTTAACCGCACCATCATTTCCCCTGTAATCTAGCTGTCCCTTATTACTTGATTAACTGTCTCCTGTAGCCACACCAGACATACCATTTCCATTATTTGTCTTAAATACCCTCTAGCCCTGGTGTCACTACCGGATTTCGGTCAAATTGTCTGTGCAAATAATTCTTTTCGTGGTTGGAGTGCCATATTCATGCCCATTTAAGGAAGCAAGAGTGCCAGGACGTGTAAGACAGTTGCAGGAATGTCATTAAAAAAACAAAAAACAAAAGAGAGTAGTATCTGTAATCCACTGCTGACTACCCCATCTCTACTGTACTGTCATGATGTGGCCTGTACCATCTGTGTTTCCGGGCTTTTTCTTAGAGACAAACACTAAGGATTATCTGTTTAAAAAAAAAAAAAAAAAAAAAAAGGAACTATTTGATCCAGATCTGATCGATACACCAAGACCTGCCCCCCCTCCTGCCCCCTCCCCCAACCCCCACACACTAAGCTCGAAGCCGACCCATGCAATACGGTCCTGTTCCTCACCTCTGGGCCCGCACCGAGCGCACTGATGTCAAGAGCTCCTGCTTCACACTGTGATTTCTGCCTTCTTCCCTTCATCCTGGACCTGGCTGTCACTGCTGCAATTGAAACACGACGGGTCATGTGACAAGCGTGACGGAGGCGACGCCACGAAATGTCAGGGGGGGCGATGCCGTTCACGAGGTGTGTCTGGATGACAGGGCGACAAGAGGAACCAGTGGCCTGTTTTTAAATTAATAAAAAAATATATATATTTGGAAGGTTGTGGCAGTACAGCACACAATGAAGGAAATAGAAGACAGAACTGCAAGACGAGGAGAAAATGAATGTTTACGAGACATTAGGAGTTTTTTGAGAACATTTTGTGTGTGAATATTTGTATACTGTAGAAGAATTAATAAAAAAAAATGGAGGCATTGTATGTTTCAGAGTCATGATTGCTGTAGTGTTTTATTCTTTTGATTCAATGATTGACTGTTTTCTATGTACTTGGAAAAATAAGTTAATTATTTTATTTCTAACTGCTTTTCTTCAAATTTAAAGGGGCATCCTGCTGATTTTACACTTAAAGTTCATTGTCTTAAAGAGTAGTTTTCAGCCTATAAAAACAGTTGTATTATGTCATGAAATGGCAAATTTAAAACCAAAAGCCTTCGTTACCAACTGTAATGCATACAACATACGACAAGGTGCATTGTGAGAAATGTAGTATACTTAGTTTATGAATAAAAGTCAGGATATCTTTGCCTCTGTTGCTACAATTTTAAAAATCAATTTCTTGCAAGTAAATCCCTGGAATTCACCTTTTTAAAAAATAAATAAAAATCAGGACCTATTTAAGGCAGCAGGTTACTATTATTTCCATTATCAATGAATCTATACATTTTAAATATGTAAGAAAATATTGAAGAAATGTCTTCACATTGCTTGTATTATGCAGCAAACCGTCCCAAACCCAAATATTATAATAAAACAATGATATAAAACAGAAAACAGCATCAAATTCTAACATTTAATTACAATTTTATTTGAATTTTTACTTGATAAATTGCTAAAATGTTTCACTTTGTCAGAATTGTTGCTGGTAAATTTCCTGTTGATCTAGTACTATCTAGAATATACATTTTTACATATTTTGAAAAAATAATGTTTCTTCATATGCAGTATGAGGATCCATCTGCTCGGAAGCTGAGCTCTAAACAACAGTCGTGACCCACAGTTTGGAGCCCGCATCCTCCTCACAGCAGAGCGCAGAAGTGTGGGGAAAAGTATCATTCTGACACCCCATTTGTCTTGGAAACCGTGATACACAGAAGAAAAGCATGCATGATTGCTTTATCAATATAAAGTGAACGTGATGAAACTTGTGTTGATAGTTCATCAATTCGGCACACTAGGAGAGGAGCGGGAGCGTCTGCCAGTGATGAATGTGTTGTTTGGGCACCGCTATACACAGCAACAAATCCCAGCCTTTCACACTGGCTCACCTTATTGGCCCCGGTCCTCAGAGGTGCAGTTACTGTGACGGCCACATGGTGTCAGCAGAGCATCAGAGGAAACCAGCCATATCAGCCACTCCCTGACAGTGAAACCTACAGAATCAAGTGCAGCATTTTTGGTGGAGTATGTATATTCAGAGCTTTCTTGGACATAGAATTGTCTTGTTTCCCCACATAGAAGCTTAAATAATACATTATATCCAAATCACAGACATCCAACCCAGTCAATCCAGCATGCTATGACATACACACATCAGTGTCCATATACTTCTGGCCATTGACTATATGATACAGTGCTCTAAGGCAAAATATAAGTAGACACTCCTGTCAACATAAGGGCTTCTGGATGCACAAAGCCAGTGCTTTTCTGTGTATGGCGTTGAAGACTCACTTAACTGATCGTTCTGACCTCAACCTCCAATCCAAACACCTTTAGGATGAACAACAACAACACCTAACATTAGCGCCTGACCTCCGTAATGCTCCTGTGGCGCCAGTTCACAAGGTCTTGTGGAAAGCCGTCCCTGAACAATTGAGGCTGTCACAGCAGCAGATTAACGGCCATGGTTTTGGAACGAGATGTTTAATAATCCCACACCACCCTTTATCGCACTGTATGGCCAAAAGAATGTAGACAGCCCTTCAGTGCAGTAAAGGGAGGTATTGAGCTATATGGCCAAAATTGGTGGAAGCTTCACACCAAAACCCATGTCATTATTAAGATGTCAACAATCACATATGAGTGTAGTATTTGGGTGTCCACATACTTTTGGCCATGTAGTGGAGTGCATTAGATACTTGCTATTTTAAAAGCTTTCACTGCAAATTACCTCAAATGGTGCGCCATACATATTGCATATTTGAATTGCAAAATTTCTGCAATGAGATGTTCCATAATCACTCACTGGTGTAATGTTTCCACATACTTTTGGCCATATGGATTAAATAGATAATAGGATATTCATGCAGATAAAAGGTTAACAGACCATAGTTTTGTCATTAGGTCCTTGACACTGTATCTGCAAATCTGCATTTTGGACAATATATGAATGATTCACTCTAAATGCCCCATCACCAATAAACTCCTCATTTAAAGTGGTGCATATGATTTCCATACCCATTCTTTCACTAGTGTTACGGAACTGTTACTGGATTATGAATTTCTGTGACAACCACAGCTGTAACAAACACGTTCACTAGGATCTGATTCTGGAGCAGTACATTTAAAAACTGCATTCAGCGGCTCCTTTGTCCCATATTCTCATCCTGCACTTCCCTCCTCTCTGCTTCCTCTCTTTCCTCACAGGAGCATTGCAGGTTGGGGACACGTTGTGGATATTTATGGCCCCGAACCGCACCGCAGTGTTGTAATTGGCCCCACAATGACGCTAATGCTCAGAGAGAGGAGCCGTGTAGGAGCAGAAAGTGATGCCGCGATCTGGCAGAAGATGGCAGATCCTCCCCTTAATGAATGCTGGTAGAAGAGGTAATGAATAGACAGAGGGGCTTAAAGGCACACATACGTAAAGTGAGTGTGCATCAGTGAGGCTTTTACCCAACCTGCCAATGTGCTTCATCTCACCCTCCTCAGTCTACCACTTCTCTCTGCCAAACTCAGCCTCTCTCCTTTCTTTATCCCCATCACTCAACACCCTCTCCCTCTCTCGTTTGGATCCCATTCCATTGCAATGTAATGGGTTTATTAGTGTGGTTAATGCACTGTGACCTACTGGGGCTTGCCGTCTACCTTTTTCATGTGCAAAAAAGAAAAAGAAAAGGTGGACTGTTTTTAAAAGGGAAGCGGTACAGGAATGAGGTATAAAAGGGCAGCACTAAAGAAAGAGGGAAAGACTATTTTAGAAGCCAAATTATACCTAAAGAATGAAGAAAATGTAGAAATAATAACTGAATTTAGAAAGAGGACAACAAAGGCTGTGAGTGCTGGAATGCCAGTGCAGATGTGCACATTCACGACCACTAGAATAAACTGCAGCAGAGAGTTGGGTTCCCAAACAGCCCGGGCTAGTCCATGTTTATAGCTGCTATGTTTACCCAGACTGGGACAGACAAAGTCAGCTTTGGCACCAGGCGTGCTCGGTGCAAATGAGTGTTTCTGCTCCAAAACTCTGCCAGAGAGACTTGCAGCCAGTTTGTGGTACAGTATAATGAAGCCATTTTCAGTCGGGACTGTGGTGTTCCTGCGTATGCAAGATCTGAGCCAAAATAGAGGCTTACAGAGTGGAGGCTTTACCCGAGAGAGAGTTAGGGTTGGAACAATGAGACGCATCAGAGCGCATCTTTAAGGCTTGATTGAAGAGCTTTGACCATTCTTTGTCATGCGTTGTACACAGAACATAGACCAATTTAAAGATGCACCACCAAATATTTTTATATATGCAATGTAAAATATGACTAATATGCAGCGTTCGTAGTGACTACTTATCACTCTTTTAGCATCTTTCAGCTCACTGTCTCGATTTTACCGCTCACATCTTTACTGTTTTTGTTCACTCTCAAGGCTCTCATTACCGTTGTTTTTGGCCAGCAGCAAAAATGTACTAATAAACCCAGTGTACGCTGCCCGTCCGGCACCAAGCAACAGATAACTGGTGGAGCATTTGGCAGCTTAAGAGCCAGATATTTCCTTCAGGAGTTGGTCTCCACCAAAAACATGACTCCAAATAAAATATGCTTCTGCATGTTTGCTGGATGTGTAAATAGGCAACTGTTTGCTAACATGTTGGATACATCAACTTTATAAGGTGATCAACAAGGTGTCAAACAAATCCCATACATTAAGAGCATCCAAGTAAGTACAGATCTGGTGATGTGCATGTCATAGCACATCACGATTAAAGCTTAGCTAAAATTGGTTGAAAAGTAAAAGTATTTTATACATCTTTCTTACGTAACAGCATTGACAGTAGATTACTGAATGTCAGTTAGTAGCAGGTCCCAACAATATGTGGAAATATAGAAATTTTAATCCTGTTGAAATAGCTGGTACAAAAAACCCCCCCAGAAAATGAAGCCCGTTTTTAACTGTCTAGACCTCTATTGACCTACAAATCACCAGAATCATGCTTCTATGGGATAGGATTATGAATAAATAATGCGTTACTACTCGTGCTTGGGAGATTAAGGCTGAAAAAATGAAATAAAATAAAAAAATCACTGGGTAAGAAAAATACCAAGACAAATCCAAAAGACAGAGTATTTCAGACTAATAATACAAAAAGATACAACATGCTTCAAAAGTGATCAAATGAGATACTTCATCAGGGCAGCACGCACCATTCAATAACCAGCACATTGGGAACTATTCAGCTTGAATTTCCTCCTTAATTTTTAGCAACGGTAGGCTTGATTAAAACTTCTAAAAATAATATCACTACCCTTAAGCGCGGCACACACTTTATTAAGCTATTATGAGTTTCATTTGTCTGGCCTAAAGCGGCTGAAATAGATCAAAGGCCTCATTAATATAAATGAACAAATCATAAAAATGTTTGTCAGGACCGGAGTCGTCTAAAATGTCTTTTGACTTGAATGATAGCGCCTCTGATTGATTGGGTGTGATTAAACAGGGCTTAATCAGATTTGCATAGGTGATCACAGCAATCACATCAGCAGAGCCTTTCGGCAGCGTGACTTCAAATGATGCTTTTCTCCGCTGTTAGTCCTAATTTACCACATGCACCTGAGTTTAAAATCTAAACTTGTCTGATTTATGCAGTGTACAAGTTCCTGAGGCCCTTGTAATGACAAAGGTGGGACAATTTTATCCACAGTGTGTTCATATTTAATGCCAATTAAATTCCTGACCCCTGCGCTCTGCCTGTTGAGCTATACATGACGGAAAAATATAACCAAGCGTTCTACTGGGTGGCCACTGGGTAATTCCAGTGTTTAATTAATTGAG